ACACAAATCTCCTTGCGGGTCTCAATCTATGCGTGTGCGCCCTGGACCTCGCCACTGGCAGCTCGTTTGCTAAGACCCCTTTTTGTTGTTGGCCCCAATTTTATAAATATATTCGTGTGCGTGTGCTTTTGTGTGTGTATTTGCGCTAATCAATCAGGTGACGTGTCCCCGCTCACTGTCGTGCGGCAGCCACGTCATTCACGTGTGTGTTGGACGTGGGAGGAAAGACGGGGGCGCGGGGGGCAATGCAAACAAGCGCGCTGCGGGAGGAGCGGGGGGGGGGGGGGGGAGGCGCCCGGCGCGCGCAAAAGGCAGCCCGGCGCGGCTGCGGCTGCAGGCGCGGAAAGCAGAGCGACGTGCACGCAGGCACCGCACAGCGAAGGCGCAGACGCTCGCCTTTTTTCCCCCGCCAGGGCGGCGCAGGCGCAAAAACCAAAAGAAACAAAAAAAATAATAAATAAAATAAAAACATCTCTGCAAGTGTTTTTTTCGGCGGCAGAGAAAAGAAAAAGCAACGAGACGCAGTCATAAGAATAAAACAAAAGCACGGCTCCCCATGGCGGCCCGCCGGCCCCCACCCGCCCACCCACGTCGGCCACTGCGGCCCGCGTCGGCGATGCGGCGCACGGCGGCCAAAGCAGACCGATGCCCTTCCTGGTGGCGTGACACACAAAAACGTTGCGGCGCCGCCTTCCGGCGGCCCCCTCCCCCGCAACCGCCGCGCGTCGATGCCCACTCGCAAGTCACACGTGTACTCCCCACGCCCCTGCAAAGAGCCAAAGCCACACGCAAAAGATGCCCCTCTGTTTGGCCGTTCGGAGTCTTGCCGCCGAAGGCGCAGCGGGCCCACGGTGTTGCCTCTCGCACGCAAAACTGCGCGGGAAGGCGGCCGCACACCACACGGGAAAGGCAGGTTGTGAACGGCACGCCAAGGCGGTCCACACCTACACACACACAGTGAACCGCGACGCGGAAGGGCACAGAAGTACTGCGTAATGCGCCGTCCCCATCAGTTACCCCGCGGCTCCCACATCCACCTTGCAAAGAAAATGTGTTTACACCTTTACACGGCCCCAAAAGCGCAACGCGGCGGGGAGGTGCGTAAGTTGTAGCTGTTGTTGCTGCCAGGAAGTTTCCCCCTTCGCGACCCCACCCCTACGCTTGAATTCTTTCGTTGACCTACACACACAGTGGCCACGCCTACGCGGCAGCAGCGAGAGGGCAGGATGGAGAGGCACGAAGAGGGCACTTTGCGTCGCAGCGGGGCGCCGGCAAAGGCTGCAGACCCATACACACACACGCACACGGGCATGCCATTAAACAGCCAGTACCCACACCGTCGGCACACGCTGGCGTGCATGCTGATGGTTTTTATTATTGCTTTTGTTGTCGTCAAGAAC